TATATTAGGGTCCTGTTATATTCCTGTTATACCACTATTACAGGGTGGGGGGTCCTCCTAACCCATAGGATACAACGCTTCAAACTTTCTGGGGGTTAGTAAGGAATAAGGGAATATGGTAGATAGGGATCAGGTAGGGATCCTATTCGCTTATTCTCTAACCACCAGTAAGCAAAAAGAGTAGCATGAAGTTCACAAACCCTAAATGCGGGGCAGGTCGTCGAAAGAAACTGGCCCGAACTTGGACTGATGATGAAGACGCTGCTTACAGGGAGTCTGACCATCACTACAAACGCAGAAGCTTCGCATTATCAATAGAAGTCTATGCTCTCATGATAAGCAGGGCATGGCAAGGTCCCCAAAACAGGGCCAAAAGAGCAGCACACAAACTGCATCATACAGACCCGCGAAGCCTGAACTTGAATTAGGCTTGCCCCCGCTTGTTGCTCTTCAGATGCCACAGAGGCGCAAAGGCTAGGTTTGGCAAAAGGCACCTTTGGGGGTCCCTAACTTCAGAGGAAGCCAAGAAAACAGGGACCTTGTGCAATGCGGTTAATGCTCTAGTCAGGGTTTTGAACCCAAACACAAGGACCCCATATTTTGCAGAATGAACTTTCTTACAGGTTGCCAGGATGGAATGCTACCGGAGGATCCCGCTGCAGTCCCCGTTTAGACTGGAATTCTTAGAGGTCTCCTACTTTGAAGAACTCTCACTCCAGAGGCTAACCCCTAAATCCTTTATGGTTAGGGTTGTTTGGGGTTTAGGGTTTAGGGTATGCCTTCACTTATGACCACGGAATGGACATATCTGTATCTGCATATAAAGTGGTCACATACCCCTGCAACTCCAGAAGCCCTAAAATCCAATCCCTTAAACCCTGAACGTATGCATGTGTATAAACACACACATGCACACTCTCTATACATATATATATATGTACATATACTATGTACATCTACTTGCGTGCATCTATCCCTCTAGCAGGCTATGTGCCCTAAACCCTAAACCCTAAAACCCTAAGTAGTAGTTTCCATTTCTTTTCCATTATCCCCATATAACCCCAATATAACCCCAATGAAACCCCAATATAACCCCAATATAACCCCAATATCACCCCAATATGACCCCAATCTAACCCCAATATCACCCCAATAACCCTATATCCCTAGCATATGCCAAGAACATCTGCAGTGGCCTCAGGAAGTTCCTCAAGCCGCTCCTGAAGCCACCCAAGAGGTGGTGCAGCCTGTTAGGGGGCTTAGGGGGGTTTAGGGTTTAGGGTTTAGGGTTAGGGGCATTGTTGGGTTGTATTGGGGATACATTGGGGTTATATTGGAGTTATATGGGGATAATGGAAAAGAAAATGGAAACTACTACTTAGGGTTTAGGGTTTAGGGCTTAGGGTTGGGTGTGCAGTTTAGGGTTTAGTGCATAAGGGTTTAGGGACCAAGCGTTCGGGGGCAAAGGGGTTTAGGGCTTGAAGCTACAGATCGAGGCTAAGGTTTAGGGCTTCGGTGGGCGTCGTAAAGGTTTAGGGCTCGGAGCATGCAGAAGCAACTTCGGATCTGGACGTGTTCAGACAACTTTATTTAAACAGCGTCAAGGTTGAGGGATTGGGGCTTAAGGTCAAGGGTTAAAAGCTCCGGGTTTTGGGATTAGGGGCTTAGGGTTTGACATCTCCCAGTAAGAAGGATAGGGTTGTTGCTCTAGACAATGATTTACATAAGCTTGGTACCTCCCAGTGAGCTGCAAGGATTGTGAGGGATAGGGTTGGCGATTCAACGTGTGCTGGCTTCATGAGCGTCTAATGCAAGAATGAAAAGTCCTATTCGGGGCGGTAGTGGTAGTGGTAATACTAGTAGAAGTAGTAGTAGTAGTAGTAGTAATAGTAGTAGTGGTAGT